TCTTACCAAGTAACTCAAGTGTATTACGCATCATACCCTAGCCTGAAACGGGATCGAGTTCAATGCATGGTGGGTTGTGTTTTAAAACACAAGCAAGGTTAGTGGTTGATGCTCCGGTGGGCTTAGAATTTTGCAGGCACCATCCCCACAAGTACATGAAACTCTTTGCCCACCGAATGACATTCCAGACTATGTCCTAGATGATGATGATGAAGATGATGACGATAGAGATGATGACGATGGCTTTGTTATCTCAAGCGATGAAGATGATGAATCTAGTATCGACTCTAGTGATAGTGACGAGGATGATGACATCGATGTATTATTATATGATAGTAGTGATGATTACAGTAGTGATAGTAGTGATGAGATTAATTAATAGGAGAATATGTTAATCTCCCTTAAGAATTTGGTTGTTATTGTAAAATCAAAATATGACTTGGTCTTATTATAAATCACTACTTTTTGTATAAAATTTTATTACATTGCACTATACTTGTAATTTATAATATCATGCCATGTTACTAACAACTAGTTCAGGTGGTCATGGCGGGGGGTAGAGATAGAGAATCGTCGAAGAAAACAAAGGGGAAGGGGAAAGCTCAAAAATGGTGATCGACGACGATGACGAAGAAATGGAGGAAGCGGAGGCACATGATTTGGGTGCCACTCAGGAGCCCGCCTTCACCCAACCACAAAATCAGACACAACAACATTCAAAGTTGCCGGTATTAGACCCTACTACGCTCTGGTACGTACGTACATTTAATGAATTGGACTTATATTCTTATTTTCAAAAAATTAACCTATTTATTACTTCTAACAAGTTCTATATTACTTTTTGTTGATGATCATCTAACATTGTTGTTTCTCGTTTAATGTAGGTTTGATGATAACAAGGTGAGGAGTGTGGTCTCCGGTATGCTAACTGGTTACTATCGAGACCCTTGGAGGAATTATGGAGAGATTGATGAAGGAACGAAACAACACTGGTGGAACTTGTTCAGTGTACGCTATTTCTAACTTAATTAGTTAATACATGTTTTATTAAGTGTATTAATGGAGTTGAGTTTATAACTTTTAAAGCTTATCATTCGCAGAAACAATCACATGGGCACCTCAATTGAACGAGCATGTGAAGCAAACTTTTGAAAGGAAGTTTGCAACTCGCCTACGTGACATGTTCTACACGTACAGTCACACACAAGATGAATAGCGCCAAGTCAGGCTAGCTCATGAGGAAGTCCACAAGAAGATGATGGATATTGTTGCCACAAATCTGACGTATAAGAAGCGGTCAGCCCAAAATAGGAAGAACAAAAGGGGCGGTTCCGATCCCTAGAAAATGTGGTTGAACCAACCCACTATCAGGGTTCTATGTCAGCTATACAACATGCAAAAAGGATGGTAAGTTTGTTTAATAGGCAAGTAAAATAGAAGGCATTTGTGTATTACTATGTAAAGGTGGTGTGACATTTTTAACAATGATTTTCTACATGTATAATCACAGGCGGCGAAGAATCCAAAGGCCAGCTACCAACAGCTCCTGAGCTTTTTCTGAAGGTGCACTTCAAGGATGTGCGTGGGAAAGGCACAGTGCCAGCCAACACCAAAGCGAAGCAAATTGCGATAACAACTTCATTATAACTTAGAGTCTAAACTTATTTGATTGATTTCATAAAAATGGGCAAAGTAGTAGTCACTTAGTCCATATTTGGATGAATTTGGATGAAATTTGTTCTTAAAACTTAGTTAATTGATTTTTTTTTGTGATTTCAAGCCCTATTCACCTAAAACTACCTATTATATATTGACATGTTATGAGAAAGAAAGAGTTCATTTGGTAAGAAATAAAGAAAATGGGCAAAGTAGAAGTCACTTAAGCCATATTTGGATGAATTTGGTTCTTAAAACTCAGCTAATTGGTTTTTTTTTTTTTTTTTTTTTTTTTTTTTTTTTTTTTTTTGTGATTTCAAGCCCTATACACCTAAAAATACCTATTATTGACATGCTATGAGAAAGAAAGAGTTCGTTTCATAAGAAATAAAGAAAATGGGCAAAGTAGAAGTCACTTAGGCCATATTTGGATGAATTTGGATGAAATTGGTTCTTAAAACTTACTTAATTGGTTTTTTTTTTTTTTGTGATTTCAAGCCCTATACACCTAAAACTACCTATTATTGACATGTTATGAGAAAGAAAGAGTTCATTTGGTAAGAAATGAAGAAAATGGGCAAAGTAGAAGTCACTTAGGCCATATTTGGATGAATTTGGATGAAAATGGTTCTTAAAACTTAGTTAATTGGTTTTTTTTTTTTTTTTTTTTTTTTTTTGTGATTTCAAGCCACATACACCTAAAATTACCTATTATTGACATGCTATGAGAAATAAAGAGTTCATTTCGTAAGAAATAAAGAAAATGGGCAAAGTAGAAGTCATTTAGGCCTTACTTGGTTCTATTTTGTTGAAAATGCTTCCTTAAACTTAGTAAGTTGCTCCTTTTCATGTGTATATCTTGTAGGAGGCCTACCAGAAGAAGGTTGAATAAGCAAGCACTCAAGGGATTCGGAAGAGTCCGAATGAGTTGTATTGGGAGACTGTGGGTGGTCGCAACGAGAATGGTCGTGTGAATGGACTTTGCCAAAGTGTAGAGATGTACTATGGAAACCGGATGGGTCGAGTTTCCACGTCTTCACAGTAGTACACGCCTTCCGTTGTTTCTCAGATGCAGGATCAGATGGAGCATAGGGTGCAGGCTCTTCCCAGTGAAATTCGGAGTGAATTGTGTTAGGTTTACAGTGAATTCAAACTAGAAAACACTTAATAAAACGTGTGGGACAAAACCTAAGTAAAATGATCACACTAACAATGTAATGTAATACAAACAAACACAACCAAGGTGTTACAATCAAGTATTAGAAAATCAAAGAAATTACAGAAAATTTCTAAAAGAAACACTAATATGAAGGCTTAAACACTTGCCTAAACTCCAAGCCAATCAACCAAGCATGAACATGAGAATTGCAACGTCCCTTGAGACTATGATCTTGATACACTGTCAAAGGCGTATGAATACTTTCCTAAAGGGATTAATTTCCCCCACACAGTGCTTGGGTTAATCCGGAAATTCCCTTTGAGATACAATTGACAGCACTTTCCGTCCTTAGCACAAAGAATCGAAAACCGATGGATGATTCACAAAGAAGGCTAAAATCAAGAGGTTTTTCTCTAAATAGTTTGCAAGAAAATTTTGAGAAAAATGGAGAATTCTTGGGGGAGATGATCAGAGAATAATGTTCTGTTATTTCTTCGAAAAGAAACTCATTTCATATAAAATAGAATCAACCGTCGTATAAAACCGCAAAACGGCAAGAAGCGCGGGCGCGAGCGAAGAGGCGCGGGCGCGCCACCTGCCCGCGCGGGTGCGCCACTTGCTCGTGCGGGCGCGCATCCTTCTTTGCCCAACAACTCGATTTTTCCAGAAAGTTAGCGCGATTTTAGCGTGGGTTGCGCCATGCCATGACGCGGGCGCGCCTCCAAAATTTTCCAGTTTTTCCATAAACTTGTCGCGGTTTATGCGCGGTTTTGTCGCGGGTCGCGCCTATCTGGCGCGAGTGCGATTCAGTAGAGCGAACACTCCACTCCGATACTCTAAATTATCAACAAATTGGAAGTCTAGATGGAAGCCCGATTTCAAGCCCAAATAGCCGCAATAGAGAGGAGAAACCAGGAGAAGTGGAATGAGTTTATCCGTCGTTTCCCAAGCGACACATGTTCCACCATTCAACCTCAGAGTCGAGACCCCAGGGACGATCCGAGTAGTGGCGGAGCAGGGCAGGATACCCTGGCTATAGCTTAGCTTTTGTTTATGCAGTATGTACATGTACTTATATATATATATATATATATATATATATATATATATATATATATATATATATTCGTAATTAAATCATTAATTTAATTTTATCTTGAATTAGGTGCAGGAGGTATAGGTTTCGAATGGTGGTAATTAAAAAAAATCGATTAATTTGTTAAATTAGCAGGTGAAATTCCGACGGAATTTCTGATGGTATTATCCGTTGAAAATTCCTTTTTTTTGCGACGGAAAAATAATCCGTCGAAATATGGCAACGGATTTTCAGATGGAAAATTCCGTCGAAAATCATATATTTTCCGAGGGGAAATAAATACGTCGGAACTTTCCGACTAAAAAAAGCATCGTAAGATTCCGACGGAAATTTAATCCCTCGAAAAATACAGACCTTACGACGAAATATTTTCGTCGGAAACGTATTTGATTACGACAGATTATTCTGTCGGAAGAGGTATATACCGACGGAATTAATTTCGTCGGAATATTGCAAAGAACTCTCAATTTAAGTCAATCCAGGTGCCTATGGATCTATCTCCGTCGAAAATTTCGTCGGAATATATTTTTCCAACAGAAAATCCCTCAGAAAAAGTCGAATTTCCTACCAAATGTTTCGCGACAGACCATTTCGACAGAATTCCCTCGGAAAGATGATTTCCCACGGAATTTCAAATGATTCGAAAAACGGCTGAATGTTAGAATTATTTTTAACATAAGGGTTGCATATAGCATTAAAAAAAAAACTTGGATTATTCAATTTGTAATACATCAAATTTAATGCAATAGCAATCATCTTTTCATATTAAGAAAATTAAAGAAAGTCAATTTTTTGTACAGTTACAATTGGAAAACGAAAGGTAACATTATTACACAAAATTTACAAATTACAGCGAGAAAGGGATGAGAGCTAGAAGTTTAATTTGTGCTTAAAAGAAAGTCTAAAGACAATTTAATGCTTTGAATTGGAAAATAGTTGCAGGATCAAAATTGTAAAGTTGCAACTAAAATTCTAAAAGTAGTTGGCAATAGCATGTAGCCAAATGCTAGTTAATAGCAATAATTAATTAATAGAAACATAACTCGCTTATGAATAAAGCCATTAGAAAGTGAGAATTTCCATCCAGTAATTCGCACGTCTAAATTTTATTATTGTTGAATTGTTCTAACAGAGGTTGGATAAATATTATTTTTTTTGAAACCAAGGTTTAGATAAATATTTACAAGCAAAAGAAACATCAAATTTAATGTGATAGCAAATATCACTTCATATATTAGAAAAAGAAATTCGAATCTATCCTTTACAATTGAAAAACAATAGCTAACATTATTTGCCAACCCAAAAAGGGATGATAAAGCTAGAAACTTGTGCTTAAAAGAAATCTAAAGGTAGTGAGTGATCAATACGTGCACAATGTTTCCAAAACAACGATGAAAGTTGTTCTCTTTATTAGAGACGAAAACTTTACTTGGCTTATACTTGATTAGTTTGGTTAGCTTCGAGTTTTGGAATTTGTGCGCTATTGATCAGATCAAATGCTGTGAACGAGTACGGTTCAACCTCAAGAACAATGTCTTTTCTTACTTCGCTTTTGAGTAGAGTTGATATTGGCACCACCTAGCAATCATAAGTTACACATTACTACATTAGCAAGTACCAACCAAATTGGTGGAAAACAAAACAATAATATCAAGAATATCCCAACCCAATTTGTAGTCGGGTTTAGGTCAAGTCTTCTAATTAATTTGGCCTAACCCAACATGTTTACCGCCCAATCCACACCTAACTCTATAATAGATGATTAGCAATAAAGCAAATTAAAAGTACCTTTGTAGGATTATCGAATGTATTATCATCTTGCAAGTTATCACTAGTAAGTACGGTTTTCTTCCATAATTTAACCGCGTTAGGATCAATTCCATCGAATGAAACCTTCAAATTCTCTGTTACATTGTTGTAGTTTACAATCTACATGATTAAAATATCCGAGTTAGAATATTATTTATGAGATATGAATTGATTATAGTTAGAAGGTTGAGATTAATTTTTTATACCTTCACAGTTATATAATTCTTTCTATCCTGCTGGTTAGTCCAACTTATTGCGGTAACATATGTGTTCTCATGCATTGAGTGATTGTGGAAATGAACATTCAACAGTGTCGCTCCACTTGATTCTTTGAAAAATGTTTGAACCCAATAGCTAGCAATCCCAAACACTTTGTATGTATTGAAGAAAATCGCGTCTGGATTCCATCTATCAATAAGAAAAAGCCAAGAAAAAAAAAAATCATTTTATGAAATTTATGTTATATACGTACGAACTATAGTATAGCTACATTGAGATGCGAATTGTAATAAATCACCAAGCTAAGTACATACGTTCTGTCATTCTGGTTTACGAAAAGTGGGGCGTAGCTCACCATTTCAACAATATCGCTGCATTACGATCATTAAACATAAACATCAAATCAATTTAGATTACTTTGGTGGGATTAAATTGATCAAAGTACTTTATAATGAATAAGCTAAGTGAGATATGCGTGCCTGTTTTTCTCTAATGAAAGCAAGAAAGCTGCTTCTGCTAATGCTGCCCCAAATGTTCCATTCATCATTTGATCTTTTGGGTATATCACAGCATATTCACTAACAAAAGCCTGCAAGTTAAAATCACGTGTCAATAATTATATTATGTGTTGTCTCTTTCCAATATTATTATAAGTGTGGTGTAACTTAAACTGTCAATAAGAACTGAATACGAGGAGGGTACCGGTTAATAATCATAAAACCTACTAACATATATAATATTTTTTTAATAACATGTAATGCATACCTTTGGTGCGAGAGGATCCCTTCTAACCTTCCCAAATAGATGAGTGAGATTAAGCATATCCGGAATATTTGTATATCTCTGAAAGTCATGATCAATTAGACCAACTTATTTAGATGTGAAATAGTGAAATATGCTTAATATTTTTAATTTTTTGAAAAAAAAAAAAGTAGCTAATTGTTGGAAAAAATATTACATGAAAATCATATATATCAGCAGGATGATCTAAGGGCTTCTGTGTTGCATCACAATTTGAGATTACTTTGATGTCAGGATATAATTTCTTTAGGGCTTTGTAGAACTTAAGATAATTTCCTGTGGAATAGCAACATTAAAATAGTGAATTTGTATATATATACATGCTAGTACAAGAATTTTAAGTGAAGTAAATTGTACCTGTGTAGCTGTTTAAGTCACAACCCTCATTTCCAAAAGCAATGTACTTCAATTTAAATGGGTTTGGGTGTCCCAACTTCGCACGAAGAGAACCCCATGTCGAATTTGGACTACCTCTAGCAAACTCGACACTGTCCAACATTTCCTATTTTTTCATAACAAATATTAAGTCAACTGGTAATAATACACGTACTTGTACAACACATAAAATCATTTTGCAATGTTATGCATGGTTGTCAAGGAACATTACTTGTACAAAAGGGGCAATTAAAGAGGTATCAACTTGATCCTTGAGACCAATTCCTGCAATTAGATCATATACATTAGTTTCATAGAAAAGAAAATTAGCCTAAAGTGTACAAATAAAGAGTTGAACGTTTAACTAACCATTGTTAACAACCCACACAGGCTCAACATCTAGATCTTCGGCTAGCTGGAAGAAGAAAAGAATGTATTACGATTACAAGTTATATTTTTGTTATATAAAAAGAATGTATTCCGCATTACGAATTTACTTAGCTTCCATTATAATGATAAAAAGACAATATAAAAAAAAAAAAAATTGGTACGGATGGAGTATATTATATATATATAAGTACATGGAGATACTCAACATAACATAATACAATAAAATGGTACAGATGGAGTATATTATATACATCTTAAGTACATGGAGATATTCAAGACAACACAATACAATAAAAATGGTACGGATAAAGTATATTATATATATCGTAAGTACCTGGAGATATTCAAGATAACCAAGTCCATCATCACTCCAATAATTCCAAACATCCCCAAGATGTCCTGGCCTGTCTTCCCATGGACCAACAGTTTCCTTCCATCTAAAGGCATTGGTTAGAAAATTACCTTCAACGTAACACCCGCCTGCATTTCAATGTTTGATTAAGTTTTTTTTTATTTAATTTTATTCATCTTTTTAATTAAAGATATTATTTATCCCAATATTATGAAAAATACCAGGAAATCTAAGGAATCTAGGCTTGAGCTTGAGAAGCATTTCCATCAAATCGTTTCGGAATCCATGGCCCTAAGCAAAAAAACACCCAATTAAAAAATTAATACGAGTATTAAAAATTAATTAAACAAATTTAAGGAAAGAAAATTTCACCTTGTATGTGTCAATAGGCATAGCAGATACTTGATCAAGCCAAATAGTTCCTTTTTGACTGGTAGTGAATTGAAGTCTAGCTTTTTTATATGATCCTTTAGCTTTTAATGTGAACTCCATTTTTGTCCAATCCTTAACTTTCGTAGCATCAGCCCTACAATTTAAATAACATAACAATGAGAAAATATACTAGGTATGTATATCTTCGGAAAAAAAAGGGAGGCTAATAATATAATGAGTCATTCATTTTGATATCGTTTTGATTGAGATCAATTTAAGTCATCTTATCGAAATATATATTGAATTAAAAATTAATATTTATAACACGCCAACTATAAATTTATAACAATTCATATTAAATTTTTTTGGATCATGCCAATATGGTTGGGCAAATATTGGTTTATAGTCTAGTTAATTTGTGAACATATGATTGTACCATATATATACGAGTCAATTTAAACATGGTTCATTAAAAAAAAAATGTATTAAATACAAAGTATATGTACTTACGTAACACGCTGGAAGGCAAGTACTTGTGTTCCATCATCACTAACAAATGATATAACACCGTCAAGTGATCCAGATGATTTAACGTGAAATACCACTTTGTAACTCTTGCCTTCTTCGATATTCTAAAAAGATTTTAAAACGGTTTTTAGCACTTAACTAATACGAATTTCTCGTTCATATAAGAAATCAACTAGAACTAACCATTCCCCAATACCCGGGATTATAGAGTCCAACACCTCCCGGTGGACAAGTATTTTGGTCACAATGTATATCCATTCGAACAGCAACGGGGTTGTTTTTGAAGCATGATGATAGCTCAGTTACCACGTATATTGCTTCATCATCTCCAATCTTACCCCAAGGACTAATTGCCGAAGGAACATAGCGACCTCCGGCTTCGAATCCTAAACATTCATGTCATCAAACATATAATTAATGAGATAATGCTAAAGGATGATAAGTACTAGGAAATATTCTACGTATCAAATTGTTATCGTTAAGCTCAATGTAATTATTTAAAAATATGATATAATAATTTCAAGAGTAATCAAATACAAGTAATTAGTCACCTCGATTGCTGACAAGTTCCGCCCATAAACCACCAGCCCCGGCATGATTGATCTCCTGATCAAGTGTCGCAATTAGAAAGAAATGTAAGTTTCACTATAAAAAATATAATGTCATTATTTGGGTTTTGTTAACATATATGAAATGAGACGGAGAGAGTAATATTAATTATAAAGTATATACCTCAAAAAAGATACCAAAAAAGACAGGAGATATTTGACGCCCTTTAGAAAGATCCACGGAGAGGGATGCAGTGGGATACCGACTATCAATAAGGTTTAGGTCATTATGAGCCGAGCAAACTTGGAAAATGGTTAATGCTCCAACTAATAACCAAACCATCGTATGATCATAACTACGCTTAGAATAAACCATCTTGCATTGACAACCTATTTTAAATATATGCAAGAGAAATCAGAAAAGAAGAGTGAATTTGATAAAGAAATAATGCAAGGATTTGTATGCATTTATATTGTAGGTGGTTGCAAGTTGATTGTTATTGTAGCAATGATAACGATTTTCATTATGGTGATGAGTATTCAGCGTTAAGGGCAATTATGGTATGTACATGTAAATAGTATAGTAATGAATGCAATGCATCATATATCATCAAGGCCTCATTTTTTTTAAGCCTAATTTTATAATTAAAATGAATTAACCTTAATTAACTATTAGTGAAATCGATGTATGAAATAAAAAGATTAACATATAAGTCCACAATAGAATTAAATAGATAAAAAGTAAATGCAAAAGAAATTTTATAAACATAATCAACCTTAATTAACCTCAGAGTAGAAGCCGCCAACGAAATAGAGAATGAGACCAAGAAATGTAAATGAGCGTAATTATATATAGTGGAGAAGAAATGTTATGTTTAAAATGATATCTAAACGGAGGTATTTATAGTCTAATTTATATGTGGTAAACAGTAAATTTTATTTATTTATTTGCTAATATTGGATTATAAATAAGATAATGTCCCTTGATGTCTATCATGTGTCAACCATCCAGACTGTATCACTATTCATCCAAATTATCCAACTTTTTTTTTTTTTTCTTCCTACTCAGTAACTTGACAGCTTGTAACCCCATGATTTTTTAGACATATCAAACTTGGTGATATCAAACTATATTTAATCCGCTATTTAAATCATTAAATAATAGATAGATGGATAAAGTAATGCTAATGTTGATATATAGCTCGGTATTATCTTATTAATTGGAAAATAAAATTAGTTATGCGATATTAGCTTAAATAGTAGCTTAGAATGTGATGACTGATGAGGGCATTTTGTATGGCCTAAAATATAATGACCGGATGATGTCAATCCATTTCTAATCGATTATATATAGATTATTAAATTATATAACAGTATGTACAGAGTATATTATACGGACTTACGGAGTATCATTATCATGATATTATACGGTTTATTGTTTAATTTTACCCATTATCCTTTCTATCTCTAATTTTTTTTTTTTTTTTTTTTTTTTGAATAAACCTATCTCTAAATTGATAAAATAGGGTCAATGTATACATTATTTGTAATAGACGCATATAAATCTGCATGGCTGAAATGTATCCATTATTGTCGAATTTATAATTATAATAACATGCTCAAAAAATCCATTAAATTTGAAATCTTAACAATTATGAATTATTTTGAGATACATGCACATCAATTTTGTAATTGTTTATGAATGACTTATCCGAATCAACTTAAATGAGAACAGATTAATTGCCGATTTGCCTGATTGGATTAATGTGAGACTGTGAGAGTATATTGCGTTATCAAGGAAGATAATAATTGAAAAAGATAATTACGAGTGTGCATGTTGACAAGATGGGACTGGATACTAAATTAATTAATGTGCATGTTGCCAAAATAAATACTACGGAGTACTACCTAAGAATTTAAGGAATAAATGAATGATAGGATCACATAAAGTTCACATACAAGCTAAGAGCATCACCAAAAATATCGAAATTTTTATTGAATATTTGGTATGAGGGATAGAGATAAGAAGAATAAGAGGTGGGATAAAAGATAAAGATAAAAATAATAATTTTCCTTATTTGATATAAGTTGATAATTAGATTTGAGATAAGTTAAGAAAAAACTTAACTAACTTATATATATCAATATAAACAAGATTTATCTTTTATTTCTCAATTTTATCCCTAATTCTTAATACTTGCAGTGATGCAACTAATTGTACGCGTTTCGGTCTTTAGGGTCACAAACTCACAATGCTAGTTATGATGTTTGGTGCCGCCAACCACTTATTAAAGAATTATGCCCCATATTATGTACTTCGTATTATCTTCATTGTTAATTTCAAATTTGAGCCAATTCTAGTAGCCGTTTGGACTTAGTTGGTGGGGCCCTTTGAAATTGCATGGTTATTAAGTCCGTTGTGTATGACTTAGACTGTTATGACTTATGAGGCGGCTTTTTATACATTTCACACTTGAACTATCACTATTAACTACTAATCCTAGTTGCATTATGAATTTCAATATGTCATGGCTTAGAATAAATTAGGACCCTTCTCTTAAAGTCATCATCATAAGGATTCATAACTACTAATCTCGAGAATATAATGTGCTTATGTGCAACATGATATGCTTATGTGTAAAATATAAAAATGCATGTGGAAAATATTGAACTTCTAAATTCACTTTTTTAATGTCATTGAATGAAAGTATTATTAGAAGACTCTCTTTAACGGCCGTGTTTAGTGAAAAGCTGAAAGCTGAAGCTTGATTGTGTTAGCTGATTTTGACTAGCTTGACTAACTTAATTTATTAGATGATTGTATAGAAGTGTTTGATAAATAGTTGATTGCTTAAAGTTGTTTGAGTGTGTAAAATGACCCATAAGCTAATTGTGAGGGTAGGTAGTTGTGGTTGGATTTTAATTTAAATAGGGGTATAAGTGTCATTCATCGTAAAATATTGAATAAACTAATTGAAAAAGCTCCTAAAAAGAGCTTTTTGAAAAGAAAAAAAAAAAAAACAACTTATTTAGTAGAATAAGCTCTTTAAATAAACTTTCCACAAAACACCTTAAATTAGCTATTTAATAGTCAATAAGCTAATGTTGATAAAATAAGTTAGTTACCTATAAACACAACCATTAAGTTGTTATTGTTGACTCTTAATATGTGGTCCTATTTTAGATGACATTTATTTGTGGGTGTTGGGAGTATTAGACTATTAAAACTCAAGTTGCTTGCTATTGCCTATTGATTGTGCACGTTTTGGGCCATTTTTTGTTGAAAACAATATACATCGTGCATGGAATATTATGCTTGTTATTTATTAGCTTAATTGAACTGGTATGGATTTATTAAACATAACACATTATACATTGATACTTATTACAATTGTGCACATTGTAGGACACACTTAAGGTGATCGTTAGGTTGTATGTAAAAATGTATAGCATTAGAAATCTCTAGAAGTTCAAACTTTAACAAAGGTGTGTGTAAGCAATTATTAAGATAATGGCAAAATTCAGGTGACAAAAGTTTCAACAGAAATTCTCCAAAAAAGCGGATGTACGTTAATTTATTATAAAACGGGTTAAAGTTATATTAAAAGTACTTAAAGTTACTCTTTATACTGCTAAAGTTATTATTTTTCTATAAATAAATTTTATCTTACAAAAAAACTTATAATGTATTAGATTAATCATATTAGTCTTTATAGTAGGTAAACACGTATCTAAAAGAAATTACACATTAAAATAAAATTCGAACCAACGATAAATTAAAAATTACCATAAAAATAGTTAAAGTTACACTGAAATTGATCGTTTTACAATAAAATTAATGTACACCCGTTGTACACAAGACTTATTCAAGTTTCAAATACCTTTATAAATAATTTTCTACATTTTGTAATGCCAACTAAAACTTTTCTTAAGTGAAATGAAGCTTCCTGTATTTTTTTGCATGGTTTTCCAAAGAAATTCTCAATTTGCACACACCTCACAAACAATGTATTTAAACTTGTCTAGGCAAAATAAAACAATAAAATAATTATTTTATACAAAATGAGCAAAATTTTATAGCTTATTGATATTGCAATTTAATTTTTCCTTCAATTCCAAATGAGCTTATGAATTAAGTGTGTCTAGAGATAAATACATTCTAGTTAATACTATAATATAATGATAGTAGAAATGAATTTAGGGCTATAGGGAGTAATATTCTAAAATCTTCTTTTCAAGGTACTGTATAGTTGTTGTTTTATGGATTTCAAAGTCAGTGACCAATTTCATAATTAATCCATAGCATTCCCTAAGCCATATTATCCTAAAAAAAATTAAGCAGGGAACGTACTTGAGATTGAAGCACATACAATATTTGCAAAAACCCTAGCTACTTAGTACTCCATATTAAACTCCTAATGATCTACTAAGGCCCTGTTTTTTTGAGCTTCTGGACAGAGCAGAGCAGGGCAAAGCAGAGCAAAGCAGATTTCATTATTATTATTATTATTATTATTATTATTATTATTATTATTATTATTATTATTATTATTATTATTATTATTATTATTATTATTATTATTCTCAAAAACAGAGAAAGTCATACAACCTACAATAAATTAGTGGGAAGCCGAGATACAATCTGGGCCCCCACTCCTCTAGCTATAGCAAAGCCTACCCTACTAAAGATATGAGTTGCAGCACGAGCCCCAATGTCTTGCGTCGCCGAGAACCTCTGAACCCGCTTCAACAACGCAACAACCTCCTTCTCTAATTCCCCAAGCGAAGAAAAGGAGAAGGGAATGAAACCATATCCAATTTGCCGACAACTAGCTTCATACTTCTCTCGCTTACGATGAGCCGCATCAGCTACAACCCGTCCAGGAACAAAGTCAGATAGCCCTGTCTGTGTCAAAGGAAAAGACCCAGTGAGGTCCACACAAACATCGCGACCACGATCCCAGGAATAAAGTAACACATCAGCAGGTCTGAGGGCCCCATCATTCCCTCTGGACAACCCTATATCAACCTCCTTTCTTGCTGAAATCCCAGATCTGTAGCAAATATCAACAATGGTATCCCGGACAACATTATGCCGATGTTTAATACCGACAACACCAGCACACGACACCGCGTGAACACCAAAAAAATCCCCAGTAAAAACCCGAGAACAAGCAGAGCATGGCGTCGAGATAGAAAACAATGGAACACCCATCCGGTAGCACAACACACATCGGAAGGTCTTTGCGTTCATCGTCTGACCCAAACCAAAAATAGGGACCGCCCGAAGCCAAGAAGAGGAGTGATCTCCCTGTTACGATTTCCACAATGCCGATTGCCGAGGAGACAAAGAAAAGGTGGATTCTGTAAAAGCGGTAACCTTTGTGAAATAAATATCTGCCAATTTCTTCATGAGTTTAGGGGCAGCGATCTCACTAGGATTACTCAAAATGTCAGACTCCACTATTCCATTAAACAGACTCAACGCATCTCCAAAGGCTCGTCCAAGACCAACATTGCCAGCATATCGTAAAAGTTATGTCTGCAACCCAGCAGACTGTAACCGAGAAGCAAGAAAAGCATAATGACGAACATCACCTGCCGTCCTGCCGAATATACCCCAAGCCCTCCAAACGCAAATGGTAAGGTGGCAAGTCGCCATTGCCAATCACCAAACCCAGGCCCCGAAGCAGTAACAATACGCTCCAAGAAGGATCGAAGAGCCCCGTCAAAAGTGCGCTGAGCTGTCTCAAAAGTACTAGGAGGACAAGTACGCAATGCAAAGTAGAGTTTAGAAACTCCGGTACATGCTCTAAGTAACAATAACTCACACTGAGGGTCATAAGCATAGCAACCTTATCCATAAGCGCAATGGTCTTGGTTACCCTCTGCATCACAAGCTCTCCACCAAAACTGGAATCGAAACTAGCAGGACCACCAAGCAACTTAACACCACGCAAAGGTCGAGCAATATTGGGTGGAAAACACCCACAAGCCTGCTTCGAGGGTCTTCTGTAGGCCAGAATACTTCAGTTTTTTCGACATTAAGATGTAACCCAAAACAAGGTCCTTCCTCCATAATCAACTGCAGAACCTTCCCCACAACCAAAGTGTCACCAATAACAGTGCCGTCATCCAAATACTAGGCATGAAGACATAAGTCAAAAACATCTCTAATTTTACAAACCAGGGGTTGTAAAACCAAAGCAAAAAGTAGAGGACCAAGGGGATCACCCTGCTGCACCCCTTGACACGACCATAAGGATTGGTCCCCATAATACAATCTGGTTGGATTGGAATAGCAGAATTCAACCCATCGCGAAATGCCAGGACAACGACGACGAACTTCACGCAACATGACCGTACGATCAACAAGATTGAAGGCATTTTGAAAATCCACCAACAACATAGAAAGACCAACATTAGAACCTCGGTCCTCAATCAACCGATTCACAGCATGAAGAATTGCCTCTCCACCCGAAGAAACCCCAACGCCAAATTGAAGACCATCAAAGTAACTTCCTAAAGACTGGCCAATCATAACAACAACCACCTTCGAAACCAAACGCCGCCAAATAGTATCCACAGCTATAGAACGAATACCACCACCGGGCTTGACAAGTGGGGTAAGAGGAGCACTAGCAATATACTCTCCTAGTTCCATAGGACACTTTCCAGCTAGAAAGAGATTAACCACCGCGGAAATAGAACCAACTAACTCATCTGATACAGTCACAGCAGCACCACTCAAGCAATCCAGAAGGTGCTGAGCACGTAAACCGTCCCTACCACATGATGTGCCACGGGGAAAACTCTTAATCCGATCAAAAACAACAACAGAAGTAGTAACGAGATGAAGACCATCAACAGGTATATCAGGCAAGGATGGAGCCGGAGAAGTAGGGTGTTTAGACTGTAAATCCGCGAGAGTGACATCATTATAAGGGGCAACGCCTGAAGAAGAAAGAACCCGGACTGCAGCAGTGTAATGGCCGTCACAAATCTTCGTACGACATTATTATTATTATTATTATTATTAGTATTAGTATAATAATTATAATAATAATTGTTATTATTATTATTATTGCATTATTATTATTTATTATTATTATTAATATTTATTATTTATTATTATTATTAATATTATTATTAATATAATTATTATTATCATCATTATTATTATTAATAATAATAATATTATTATTAATATTACTAATTATTATTATTATTTATTTTTTTTAGTTTTTTTTTATAGAAAATGTGTTAAATAATATAAAATATTAATTATTTTCATTAAATATTAGTTATTATTATCAATTATTATTATACTACCTCCGTTTCATATTATTTGCAACGATTTGACATAAAGTGTGAGTGAAAAGTGTCTAATCGTTGCAAATAATATAAAACGGAGGTTGTATATTAATTTTTATTATTATAAAATATTAATTATTATTATCTATAAACATTAGTTATTATTAACAAAATATTAATAATTATTATTTTTAAGCAGAGTAGATGCCAGTAAGTTAAGGGACCTAGTTTGCGAGAGTGAGGAAATGTAAGGGAATTCCACCCCCCCCCCCCCCAAATTGTAACTAGTGGGGATTGAACCTTCAAGCTTATGGTTATAAGGTGCTCTTTTTCTATTAGACCAAGCTTAGCTTAATAGCTTGTATTGTATTATGAAAGTGATTTAAATTGTTTCCTTTTATTTTTTTCTTCACATTTATTGATAAGTTTTTATAGATAAGTAATATGAATTTTTCTAGGCACACTTTGCTAATTTTTTTTTTAAGGTCATTTTAATGAGTACAAATACAAACAACGTAACATAAATGACAAATCTAACTTTAGGTATACCCGAAAATAAGTAAATAACTGATGTTCCTAACTTCATATGGAGTGTAGTCTGTAGTGTACTTTCATTTATAAAAAAATTAAGGAAAAATTGCTCGGAATAATCCGACCTTTAGCTCATCCGCCAAAAATAATCCCACCTTTCGATTATTTTTTAATAATCCGACCTTTATACCTCTTCCGCTTTAAATGGTCCCTACCGGTCATCCAACCTGTTATTACAAGTTGCTAGACACGTGTCGGCCTATAATTGGTCTAATTTTTTTTTAAAAAAAAACTTTAAAAAATAGAAAAAAAATATTAAAAACCCACAAACCCTCTGGCAGTTCAGCCACCGCCCTCTACCCATTCCGACCACCATATCCCTTCCCCTCCCTGTTTTCGGCCACCAAATCCCCTCTCCTTCCCCTCCCAGTTTCCGGCCGACACCAATCCCAGCACTAGCCTGCAACACCACCAAAACAGCAACGATACTCCTGCTGTTACTCCTTCGCAAACGCACCACCCAATCAGTCCCAAAATCGATAACACCAAACGAACCACCCAAAATCAGCCCCAAAAACGCACCATCCAATCAGCCCCAAAATCGCAAACACCAAACGCACCACCCAAAATTGCAAACACACCGCATCACCCAAATCGCAAACAGGGACGGTTTCGGTGGTTGGGATGGGTAGAGGAGGAGATTTCGGTGCTTAGGCTGTGTAGAAGAGGAGATTTTGGTGGTTGGGCTGTGTAGAGGAGGAGATTCCGGTGGCCGGGCTGTGTAGGGGAGGTGGTTTCGTTGGGGTCTGCCGCAGAGGGGTGGTAGCCGTGGTTTTTTTTTTGTTTAACTTTTCAATATTTTTTAATTAATTTTTTATTTCTCTTTGGTCCAATCACGTGGTGACACTGTGCAAACAATCCAAAGTTACAAATTGTAACCTTTTTAGTCGGTTTCAAGTCATTTGGGACTATTAGGAGCATATTGAGTATAAAAGTCGGATTATTAAAAAATAATCGAAATGTGGAATTATTTTGGCGGATAAGGCAAAGGTCGGATTATTCCGACAATTTTTCCAAAAATTAATGCCGAGTAACGGAATATAGAAATTTGAATCGAAAAAAAACCTGACAGACAGACGTTAAAATTCAAAAAATCAAAAGGCAAGGCGCGGCCGTCAATGGTTGCTCAGTCCCTTCACTCTCTCTTTCTGTTTATCAAATCAAACAATCATTCAAAATTAAACCATGGATTCCAAAGATAATTGTCGAAATGAACTCCGAATTGCAATTCGTCAACTCACTAATCGCGGTCTCTATTCCCCTTCCAGATGGTCAGTTTCCCCCTCTCTCTCCTAAATTCTTCAATTGACAATTTTTGGGTGAATTTCTGGGGTTAGGATCTTCATGGCTATATCTAATTCAGTGCAGGAATTGATTTTTAGAGTAATTTGATTGATTTTAACTGGTTTTGGTACTATTCTCTTTACTGGGTGTGGTTTGAATTTCATAGATCTTATATTTGAATTCAAATTTTTGGTTATTTGATTGCTTGAAAATCGTTAAATTGGTTGTTCTTGGTTAAGCTTCTGGTTTTTTTTGAAATTTTTTATGTGGGGTTCTTGAATTTTTGGAGTTTTCTGTCACTTATTGTTTCGCCCACCATCTGTTCGACGAATTTCCTCTGATAACAAGGGTTCTAGCTCTTTGATTTTCTGTCTAAACTTGCTTACATGATCAAATTATTAAAAAAGTAATTAAATTTGGTTTTTATTGTGGATTTGGCATGATAATTATTCCAGGGCAGCTGAACAATTGCTAGGTATTGAGCAAGACCCTGCAAAGTTTACACCTTCTCATACTCGATTTCAACGAGGTAGCTCTAGCATTCGTCGTAGATTTAAAACCCATGACCCTACTTCAACGCCTAGTCCTAGTGTTTCCTTTGTCTCTACACCAATGCCAGAGGAGGATGATGATGTTGTGGATAGTGATTTCTACCTTTTGGCCAAGTCGTACTTCGACTGTAAGGAATTCCGGAGAGCTGCCCATGTACTTCGAGACCAGGTTGGACGGAAAGCTGTGTTCTTGCGATGTTATGCCTTGTACTTGGTATGCTTTGCTCCCTATCTTTTAGCTTTATGATTTCTGTTAGTGTAAGCTACTGCACAAATATTATCTTGAGTTTAGATAATCAACTTTGCTTGTGATATATTATTTCTCGACTCCTAGGTTTTGAATGGTTATGTAGCAAGTTATTTGAGACATCTAGAGTACTTGAAGTACTTGAAGTTTAATAGACATAAATTGCAGTGACAATTAGTGTATAATATTAGGCCTTAAATTGGAGACCTTACATAATTTGTATGAGCTCAAATTCGTTTGTTTGTAGCAAAGCAAGTATAAGGTGAGTTTGTAAATATGCACTTCCTTCTCTTAAAGCACTAAAGAGCACTGAGCTATTGACAGGCTAGTAATTTATATATAATAGCATTATATAGGATACCGATGCCACAGTTAATGGTGTGTGGTGCAGGGAGTTAAAATTGTAAGATTATTTCTTGTTTTCCCTTGAGGAAGGATTCAACAAAAGAATATATACGAGTGGAGTATCTAGAATATTTGTGGATCCTTGGGTTTATGAATTTGACGCTGTTGAAGTTGTAGATTAGACATCGTGATAAGTGGTACTGGCTTCCATGTTGAGGCAATGTTCTATATATAGGTGAGCAGGGTGCAGGTGGGATGTTGGTTTATTTATTATGTTGATTAAGGAAAGCATGTCTACTGGACATTTTATAAGTCCATTTTTAACAAAGTATGTCCATTTCCAACAAAATTGCTAGGATGAATATTTGAAAATCGTTACTTTTGGTTGCAAGGGACAGAATTGTTCTCATTTGGTTGATCACTTCTTCTTTATCATGAAGTAGGCCTCTCTAATGAAGGTTTGCTAGTAAACAGATTGTGCATTAAGATTAGCACCCTTCCTGCCTTCCATATAATAATCTTAATAAGCAAAACTGCCAAAGATTCTAGAGAGCCACTAGTGTAATGGATAGTACGGAGTATATTTCAATGACATGTCAATTATGATAATGAACCTCAAAACAAGTGAAAAAAAGTTTCCAGTCTGCTGATAAATTTAGTATGTATTGAAAGAGACTCCTTTAACTAGATCCATTAAATTGGGTATGCACCTGTAACTCTTCAAGTCTGCCACCAAGATTGGGGCCATGGGGATACTAAAGATTGAAAACAAGTTTACATCCTTGGATTCTCTTATGCAAATTATTTACCATTACGGAACCTATATTTTGTATTCCAAAATCTAAACACTTGTGTACAGCGATCAGGACCATGATTTGAGAAGCTTGCTGCTCAGATACTAGATCTAATAAATATGGCAGTGTTAATTATACGTCTCATTGCTAAATAGTTGGATTATGTCAGTTTGTATTTGTTGTTAATTGCTTTCTATGTTTTGTCTATTATCATCTCACAATCATTTATATTGTGTAGAAATAGATGCATAAATCAAGCCTCTCTTAGTATTCTCAAAGTGACTAAGGCTCTATTCTCCTTAGCGTATGATTGCGGAGTTTATCTTAACTCAATTTTGTTTGAACTTTACTTAATTTTGCTGAAAATTATATTAATAAGCCTGATTTAGGATGAAGCCTTGTCCAGACCTCCCACACCTCTCAACAGCAAGATTCGACTTCTTTTTATTTATTTATTTATTTTTAATGTATTCAATTCAATTGAGTGACTTCTTAATTTTTTTTTAAATTTTTATAAAGGCAGGGGAGAAGCGGAAGGAAGAAGAGATAATAGAGCTGGAGGGGCCTTTAGGGAAAAGTAATGTTGTGAATTGCGAATTGGTTTCCCTTGAAAGGGAACTATCCACACTGCGGAAAAGAGGTGTTCTGGATCCATTTGGGATGTACTTGTATGGTCTAGTGTTAAAAGACAAGGGAAATGAGAACCTTGCTCGTGCTATCCTCGTGGAGTCTGTAAATAGCTATCCATGGAATTGGAATGCATGGTTGGCATTGCAATCACTCTGCACCACCGTTGACATGTTAAACAGTCTTAATCTCAATAACCATTGGATGAAAGACTTCTTTCTTGCTAAAGCTTATGAAGAACTCAGGATGCACAAGGAATCCTTGGATAAATACGAGCAGCTCCAGAAAACATTTTCATTTAGCAGCTACATACAATCTCGGATGGCTAATGTGCAGTATCATTTAAGAGAATTTGAACAGGTAGAAGTCATCTTTGAGGAGTTATTAAGAAATGATCCATACCGAATTGAAGACATGGACATGTTTTCTAATGTGCTTTATGCTAAGGAAGCGTTCTCATCCCTCAGCTACCTAGCCCATAACGTATTCTTGACTGACAAATATCGACCTCAATCATGTTGCATCATTGGTAATTATTACAGTTCCAAGGGCCAACATGAGAAATCAGTTTTGTATTTCAGGAGGGCTCTCAAGTTGGACAAAAATTATTTATCTGCCTGGACTCTAATGGGCCATGAGTATGTTGAGATGCAGAACACAGCAGCCGCAGTGGATGCCTATCGTAGGGCTGTTGACATAAATCCATGTGATTATAGAGCGTGGTATGGTTTAGGGCAAGCCTATGAAATGATGGTAATGCCTCATTACGCTCTATATTATTTCAAAAAATCTGTTTTCCTGCAGCCAAATGATCCGAGGTTGTGGATTGCGATGGCTCATTGTTATGAGAGTGACCATCTACGTATGTTTGAAGAAGCAATCAAATGTTATAAACGAGCTGCAAATCGCCAAGACACTGAGGCAATTGCTATAAACAGACTGGCGAAACTATATGATCAGCAAGGGCAGCATGCAGAGGCTGCATTTTACTACAAGAAAGATTTAGACAGAATGGAGGCAGATGAAAGGGAAGGACCAAACTTAGTTGATGCTTTGATGTTTCTTGCTAAATATTATAGAGCCCAGAAAAGATTTGAAGAGGCAGAGATCTATTGTACCCGATTGTTGGATTACACAGGACCTGTGAGTTATCCTAACATCCAAGTGCTTGTATACTTTAACAATGATTTTGGTTGATTAGCTTGCTAATATCTCAGCTCGAATCAGCTTTATAACATCTCAGCTCAAATCAGCTTTATAACATCTGACCATGTTTTTTCTAATATTGCAGGAAAAGGAAACAGCAAAGAGTTTACTTAGATCTATGAAAATGGCGCAATCTGGTTTCCCGTCCATGGATGTTGAGCATTTTCCACCACACGGCTCTCATTCCTGAATGCAGACTGCGTATGTATGTTGGCAAAGCTTCTTTTGCTGTACACAATCATTCTGTATATGCATGGAGTAATTTAATTCATGGTAGATGGAATCTTACAATTGAATTTTGTAATTTGTAGTCTATAGAAGTAGCTTAGTCTATAGAAGTAGCTTTATTAGGACCTTAACATTATTTGGACAGTTTAATTATGATATTTTCTTCTTCCTCATCCCCAAGGCTGGGAGTCAAAGTTTGGATCTACTTCATTGACTTCAAAGTCAGAGGATCTCAAGTGTCTGAAAAAAATCTCTCAAAGAATTATATGAATAGTAAAAAAAAAAATGGAGGGAGTAACAGCTTTTGTGAATTTGTGTGGCTTCTAAAGTCTATTACATTTGGAAAAAAAAATAGTTGAGAAGATTAAGTTTATTGAAGATGGTTTGACAAATTATTATCTGTTGATTTAGCAAAGAGTGTATTTGGTGAAGGTAAAAAGTAACTGTTGTTTTTGGTCAAATCGTCTTTCTGAATGCTATTTCCCCTCCCCAGCCCCCTCTCAAACACACACACAAACCCAAAAAAAAAAAAAAAAAAAAAAAAAGGCAACAGAAAAATACTACTCAAGTCTATAACATTACTGGCCATTAAAAGATAATAATTAATTAAAAGAAAAGAAAAAATCTTTCACAATATTATCTTGGTGCTTTTGTGTCTAAATATTAATAATTTTTGTATAAAAGATTTTTTTCCGAAAATTAGGACTATATATATAAAATAGGGTTTGAAGTTTAACTCAAAGGAATTCTAGTAGCCCTTCCATATCACCGGGTGCGGGTGGTCATACCTCATACGTACTAGTGACCTTCATAATATCCTAAGTTCCTTATTGTACTACAGAAAATCATAGCATTGTAGCACTTTTAGTAATCATGACCCATATAGATCAAGAAAGGTTAGGCCTTAGTGGCTTACAAGTACAAAATCTACACATAGGTCTTATATACAACGAGTGTATTGCGTACATCACCCTTAAATCCTTATCAAATAAATAAAAAATTACTATTTGTAAAGTTGACTTTTATTTAATCTAGGTGACTAACCCTGTTGTATATTTCGCGTAATACACCACGATGTACAAGTTTTTGTCAAATCCGAATGCAGGAACCGTGTGTGTGGCCAGCCACGTATAAAAATTTGTGTTTAAGCAGACCTTCTAGCTGTTAAATTAGGATTCTATTAGAACATCAAGTATCATAAATTGTCTTGATAATTTTGATGTATTAATTGTTTTTTCCCCTGTTTTTGTAGATTTCAGCTCGCTGTTATGTCCAATCGTTCTTCCAATTCCCTTTGCTTGACTAATATTCTAACAGATGATCTGCTCTTTGAAATTTTCTGCCGTCTACCATGCTGTGAATCAGTCTTACAGTGCAAGTGTGTCTGCAAGTAATAGTTCAATGTGATATCAGAACCTAGATTTGTCGCGCAATTTTTTGCTCATAAATTCAATGCTCAGTTGTCCAAGGACAGCAAAAGCCAAAGGGAATTAGAAGGGGAAGAAAAAGATGATCCTGGAGTGATTTACATAAAATCAAACAATCAGAAATCCGTAATTTATCCCAACAATCAGCGTTTTACATCTCCTGGCAGACTTGACTATTGGCTCGATTTTCTTCCATGTTATAGAAGAAAAGGACATTACCCTATCATTGTGGAAGCAAGGTGTAAGGACATGCTTTTATGCAGCGGCTTCACATTATCGAAAGGTATTCTTCTGTACATTTGCAATCCTCGTACGAAGCAATATTTACAGCTCCCTGCACCATCCCACAGAAAACGGTCTTGTTTGGTAGGTTTACTTGGGATCCTTATTATGTGTTTGATAAAGAAGCTGGCCTAGTTACTGTCAATTCTTCTTGTCAATGCACTGTATTCAGTTCAACCAAGAGGAAGATTTTCGAATGGCAAATGTTATCTTCTGAAACAGGAGTTTGGAGGAAAGTAATCTTTTCGTCACCAATACCAGTTGGTTTTGGTTTTAAAAATTTTGTGTACAAAGGGGTGTTGCATTCTTATACTAGTAAAAACATAATTGGATTTGATGCTAAAAAGATGGATGAGATTGGTGTCATCAACGGCCATTTAATTCGAATACCTCCATATCATGCTTCCGGTACTGATTAAGTGATTATAGGCAGATCAGTGAGTGCATTAGAGTTTTTGGAGGACAAATACTTGTTGCAAAGTGCTATATAGCTGATCCTTATATCGAACCACAGGCCACTGGTATATATGGTATTAAGGTTTGAGAGCTTAAGAATTACAATAGTGGTGAATGGTCTTTGAAGCATACCATTTATCTACACAATTCGTTTTCTGAAGAGACTGTCTTAACAGGACATATTAATCGAGGATGTCCGGACACAAGGGTTGTATGTTTCCACCCAAACTATGCCAATATCGTGTTGTTATGGCTAGCTAAACAAGTTGTTGTCGAATGTAACTTGCTCCGGAGAACACTAGAACCAATTTGTAACGTTGAAAGCAGTCGGAAAATTTATGGTCTTGATTTCCCGGTGTGGCCATCACCACTTCCCAAACCTACTTAATTTTGATGACTACTATTGTAGTTTGCCCCATTAGGACTTAGGAGTTGTATAACAACTATTTTGGCATTCATATTGTTTCCCCTTAAGTCATAGATTTCCATCAATTTACTTATATTAATTTTATCTTTGATTTCTAATTATAAAAACATGTTGAAGGAAATAAAGAGAACTATCTATAAAACAGTCGGCGAGCGAGTTTGAATTCCAACTTAATTCATACAACGGAGAAAACTCGAAAGTAATTTGTTTATCAAATCATGGTAAAATCAATAATGTAATGAAATTGAAAGCAGTCTTTCTCGAAATAGATTTATATAGAAGTTTTAGCTACGATCAGGATCTGCGAAAAAGATGTTGATCGACGGCATGATTTCAGGGGACTTATTACGAATGTATTTCCTCAGTAAATGCTCAGCATATTTCTCACCCTCTGAGAAATTCTCTAGAACTCCAGCAGTTCTGTTCTCCTTGGTAACCCTGGTTCAACCAAAACGGTATTAGTAATCATACAGATACACATGTAGTACATGACTATGTATTTATTTAACACTAAATCACAAAACGAAGTCAGAAGCTTATGTGAATAGTGTATAAAGTAAAAAACATGTCAACTAAAAAAACGGAGGTATTATTTTGAGACAAAAGAAGTACGTTACTTGACAAAACTCCGTGATATACCACCACAAATCAACAAAGTAACAAACATCAGGTAAATGCATCACGTAACAAAAGCGTTTTTAACAATACCTGACTTCAGGGTTGATGCAGAAGTTACGAACGAGCTGTAAACCACAGATACCAACAGCAACTCCAACCGCGGCTAACAAAGGATAAACCTCAGGTCTCAACCAACGATTGACAGAGGCCATTTTTAGGTAATGACTTCCGATCACGTCGCCGGAGAGAGAAAGTTGAACGCGGGTGAAGTGAGAGAGGAGAATGGAGATGGAGCGAATTGAGCTGAAGGAAGGATGAATATGTAGGAAAGGAATGCAGTTGCTAGTTGGTACAATTGTTGGTCAGACTTTACAATTCCCAAGGAGGTAATGATTCTGCCAATCACAGAATTTGGCAAGAATGATACGCAGCTGGAGTTATGCTATGGCCGCCCATTGGTAAAATATGGGGCGGTCCATATTGCCACTTGCTTTGAGTCCGCACGCAAAGCAAATCACCGCCCAATTTGAATTTCTATAATAAAATATATCTACCTGTCCGGACAAGTGGTAAATGATAACCCGTAAAAAACCATAGTGAGACATAAAATATTTCTCTATTACACATAATAAAAAATAAAAATAAAAACAGAAGTAGTATCAAACTATACTAATTGTTAGTCAACACTCTCCCAAGTTGTCTAGTTGTTAATTTGGGCCGAGTTAACCCGTGAGGAGTTCTAACACGATAAGGATCTTTCATTTTATGTTCTTGCGTACATACAAAAAATTGTAAGGACAAAAGGGGTAATTGATGATCTATACTTGTTAGGTGCAAAAATTAACTGCGAATATATATGTTTACAAGTCCCAACCTCAATTGCCCCTATTTTAATCCAAATACAAAAGTGAATCACCTTTGTATTCATATGTACATCACATTGGTAGATCATTTAAACAGCAAAAGTGAATGTAAAAACATACTTTAACCGCACGAATATGACATATTAGAGGTTGCTTCATTAATCGGAGTATAATCATAATGTGATTAATGTCCAAAACCATAACCCATTTCATATATGTACGACTTTACAATGAAGGAATGACATGTTGTACACTAGCCATTCTAATAGCATAATTTTTCATTGCAGCTGCAACAAATTATACTGAATCAACATATAGGGATATGAGAAAAAGTTCCTCAGAGGCTATTTAACAAAGGTTTTTGTGGTATATGTCTTCCACCTTGTTTACCAGTAATCATCCAGTAGTTCTGCGAGCCCGATCCCGCCAAGAACCTTGCGGCTTCGAAAGCACCTATACATAATTACAACTCATGATTTCCCATAATCTCCCTTTTCATTGAACAATATTGCAAGTGTTCAGTTTAGAAACTTACCTTCTCATTGATGAGGCTGCTAGCAGGTTCATCATCTTTAGTCTCTTCGTTTCCATTCTCATTCTCATTCTCTCTCCCTTCTCCATTTTCCGAAGCACATGATGGACCGGCTTCTGGGATTCCAAACATGGCTTCATCATGAGCATTCTGTATTTTATCCTCACCCTTTGCCTTCAATATGACAAGAAATTAACTCCCATTAGGTAAGCAACTATACGTCAAAAGTTTTGGGTTCTGCTTTCAGATACAAGATCTGCCCACCCAAAAACAGCAACAGAATTATGATTACGATTATAAAGTACCTCTAAAGATTTGAACCGGAAGCTTTTACCAATATGCTTGACCAGTGCCGCATCATCAGCAGCAGCTACAGGCAGGAAGGATTAAAATCTTAGTTTAACATAACTTCACATCAAATGCATGCAAGAACATACGTAGTACAGAGTAGAAGGCAAATGAGGACAACCCATTTAAAAGTTAAAAATGAACTAGATAGAACTGTTATTATCAATTCCAATCCCAGATGCAGAACCAACGTCTTTCATGTACTGCACTGTGTCCCTGAAGTCTACCAGGCCAATGAGTATCCAATTACCTTCAATTTCCTCATCATCTACAGGAGCATCTTTGTTGAACTCAAACTGCTTCCATTGTGAGCTAGTCCCCATCTTAGTATCCTTCTCAGCTGCAGGAAATAATTAAAACCAAAATCAATTTTTATGGTTAAACAAATGAGGGGCTGAGAAGCTGATACAATATGAGCAGATAGTTCAGATCCCACACAACTATAGCTTTAAAAATCACATCTAAACTTTTTTTAACCATAATAAATTGACCTCATTACTAATAGTATCCCAAGTCTATTTCTTTTCCTACAGCTCCAAAGCTTTCCTATCCCCTTGAGCCTTCTAGGCTGCGGTAGAGGTAGAAATTGTAAGATGAAGATTAGTGCTCAAGACCTTTACCTTTCCAGGCTAGAGTCGAATATAAGAACAATCCAACAGTGCGAGTTCAATGGTCTCAAGGTGACATCATGCTAGGGCATCTTGGATTTTGGAGCAACAAACTTTACCTTTCACAGATATAACAAATGGCTGTGGACTCTACACTGGGATATACAAGGGCTCACCGAGTTGTGACCTATGCCATAACCTTTAATAAGGTCCACCTCAGGGTAACAAGTCTTCTAAATGAAGGAAAATGCCAAGGATCAAGGACTAAGCTGGCTGGGTCTCACAATAAAGACTGCTAAACATGCAAGGATCGGGAAAACGAGGCAAGACTTATGGCCAATTTCAAGTATGGGATGCTAATATTTCTTCGTAATTAAGACTTCATATAACTGAAAGTGGGTACAGATATTTAATACTCTGTATAGCCCCATAATGCACAACCTAGTAGCTTCAGGCGAACATCTGCAATCACGCTTAACTATTACAAAGTATTATGGTAAATAACTAAATAACAAACCGGACAATTCTTCAAGATAGAATACCTAGTCCAATTTTGAATGTAACTTAGAGAAAAAAATCAAGCAAGGAGTAAAAAGAATGCCCAGTTCTATACAGATAATGGAATATTGATGAAATTCTCCAAATAGCCAATGTTGGCAAGATATCAATCCCACTGAAGTCAAAATGCTTATCAATGCTTTCAAATCAATTAATCAATCAAAGCCTTATCAATCAATCAAAGCCTTAAGCCCTTAACCTTATAAGTGGGGCCATCTACATGAACCAAAAGTGAGTGTCACAAAGTGCACTTCAATACAAAAGGAGCTCTAAGTTGTACCAAAAAGGACTAATAATCAAGGTATAACACCCCACCAGACACAACCACTTGACCATAATAGATAGAAGTGAAAATGCTTATATATTGGATGCCAAAAAACTACTGATTATATGATCATGATGTTGGTTGAATGGGAGACAAGTCCATCATGCATCAATAAGATGGATTATCTGTTTCGTGTATACACATACATAAGCCAACAGAGGACTTCATTATCAGAATTACTCTATACAAGGGTTTGATTTAAAACTGAAGGGGGCAAGAATTTGGTTAAGGACTGTTCAGTAATACTCCTTCCTACAGTCTCCTACATCCAAAGTATTTGTCCCAATTTCAAATTAATTTATACGTCTATATAATAATCTAACACTAAATCCAAGTCCCACCAATTCACCATGCTAATACACTAATGATTAAAATTCAATTATTAACTATACTTAATGATATTTGTAAAAGTTCAGACAATGAATTCCTTTAGGAAGAAATAGAGTAGTTAAACTCAGTAGGGGAATTTATAACTCAATGCTTTAAAATATAACGCTAAATCTAATATGTGTCTAATAAAGTCATGGTGAAAAACTAAGAACCTTCATCATTAGCTTAGCAAGCATGTATCAGGTAAAAAAAAAAAAAGTCCAACCCAGATGTCAACTGAAATTAGTCTGGATCAGATGTAGAGGGTTTCACCGACAAGTTTTAATCTCAAAAAGAGCAGGTAGCATGAAAGAAGAGGGATGGAAATAACTTATTTATATACTCAGATGAAGCAAAAAACGTTTCATACTTGCTAGCCAAATAGAATTGGTAGTTAGTGGTCCGGTTTACGGCCAATATCACAATTCAAGCATTCTAATTAATTCTCCATATACAGCAGATAGCTATCTTGAAGGACACGGGGGAATGATCTATCAGGTAAAAACATATGGACCAGATACGAATAGGTAGATGTAACCTCATATGTAATAATTTTTGACATCAAACATAGACAAGTCCCTTAAAATATAAAACCAAAGAGATCGCTTTTTAATAACATATATAGAGCATGTGTAGATTCTAAAAGAAGGGAACAGAATATCAGTGAAGTGTACATTGGTACAATATCATATGTAACCCCATCTCACAGTCCCAGCCTCCTAGGGTAACTGACAATGTGTATCTCTTTTAAGCTATAAAGTGTAAAGTTAGACAGGCACTGTCATAAATACTCCTACACCAGCTAAAAATAAAGCAAGTAAACAAAAGTCAGGTAATACCTGTTTGTGTAAGCTGAAGTTTCACCTTAGCTTTGACTCTTTCTGCAGGTGTCTATTACAATCAAGTAAAAATGGAGTATTAACAATCACACATTCACACTTGTCAATAACATGTTACAAAGTTCCTGAAGATGCCTGCACACAGACAGAGGAGCGGCAGATGGCAGGGACGGCATTGTAAAACCACTCCCTACCCCCCCTCTTCTCAAAGGAACATTCCTCGATCATGCTCAAGAATAAAAGAGTAGGCTTATTTATCAGAGATGTGTAAGAACTACTGGGTACTTTAACAGCCCTTCAACAAGAAAATCACATATCATAAATGTGATATTAATTAATCTAGTGCAATTATACCCCCATATGAAACCTATCTTTTCACCTCAAATCCTGAAATTTCAATTATGTTGCCTTTCATCAACCACAAACCAAAATACTTAAGGTTACAGTCAACTAGTCAAGAGACTAAAACCATGTACAAAAGCCAATAAAACCAAAAAGAAGGTGTGATTTAGCAAGAAAGGATCAAAACTGCTGGCTGAAGAGATACAGCATGGAACAATTATAAGCAAATAAGTGATAATTAACAGTCTTCTTGTTGGGTAAGTGTGACGCAAATTCTATAGCCCAACTTATTACATCTCAAGGTTTCTAGACAACTCTACTATATTGAGAAATTGATGGAGAATTGTGGAAGAATCTAAAATCGGTTAATGCTCCCGAAGATTCTAGATTTATGTGGAGAATTTAAAGAGCTTGTGTGTAGAATTTTCCATACACTTCTTCCACCTCCATATATCACCTATAAATAAAAGGTGTTGGGCATCATTTGGGAGCATTTATCCACCTACATATCCTCTAATACTCCAATGTCATACACTCTATGAGTGTCCCTCCATACATATCATGATCGGAGTTTCTACCTACACACAATCTCCCTAATCCACTATTTCTTTTTTGTATTACTCCTTTGTGAGTCCTTATAGTGAGAATTTTCTTGTATTACTCACCCTTTCAAATTCCCACATTCCCGTCAGCCGTGGGTTTTTTGATAATTTTTCTCACGTAAAATATTGTGTCCAGTTGTTTACTACTTGTCTTGCCTTTATCTTTCCCCTAATAATTTTCTCAATCTCTACATCTTTAATTTGCTTCCACTGCGCTCTCACCAACCCTAACACTTCTTCCTTTAAAAGACAAGCAAGTGGCATATAGATAAGGTTAATATTTAGGCGACATCGAGCCCTAAAAATGTATTCTGGTCATGTAGCAACCTATGTTGAGTTGGAAAAAATAGAGTGGGAATTCAATAAAGAGCTAGAGAACTTCATCTTATCTACTGTTTTCACTATAGAAACATGCATCTCAAGGGAAATAGTAAAGATAGTTGACTGATTGGCCAAGAAACCCCATTCACATCAAAATCATGAATAGGAGAATCTTAAAATCCTGGCCAACAATGAATAATAGTACAACTTCCATGAATGTCAAATGGGAAAAATTACAAGGATTTAGAAGCTTGCAAGGTCAACGGTAAAGCATAGGTGAGAAATAGAATTTTTTTTGACAAATATACAACTGCTTCATGAAGAGTTAAAGACCTGATAACTGATTTAATACATCAAACCATCAGCGACGGCTGAAAAAAGTCAGAAAACTCTGGTAAATCGATCAACAAAGGCAAAGGCACGCAATTATACTACATTTATTCAAAGCCTGAATTAAGTATCAACTAGAAACACTGTAACTCCTATCAAATCAAATCAAAGAACAATCAACCAGAAATTTCAATATAAGCAATTTTAAGTTATATAGTTTTTTTTTTTTACAAGAAGTTATATGGTTATATAAAGCATTTTAAGTTTTGAATTCAACAGAATCAAGCAGCAAGCAGCATAAATCATATGCAATAAAAATAACAAATGACTAACTAATGCATATTCATTATTCAATTGAAACTCAAAAATTGCTTTAAAAGATAAATTAAAAAACACATACCATCTTATCATAGCCGCCAATTAACTTAGCATAATCAACTACACCATTACCCTCCTTCTTCACCACTCTCCCATCTTTCCCACCACCTTCTCTTCCTTTATCCGACCGCCTTCTATCCCTCGGCGAAAAACTCCTACTCCTACTCCTCCTATGCCTCCTCCCAGACCTTCTCTCATCATCAGAACAACTCCTAGACCTACTCCTCCTCCTCCCTCTCCTCTCTCTACTCCTCTCCCTCCTCCTCTCTTTACTCGAACCTCGATACCGCCTTTTCAACCTCTCTCTCTCCTCATCAGACCCACCACCACTCCTCCTACTCCTCCTCCTCTCCCTGCTCCTACTCCTACTTCTACTCCTACTCCTCCCCCTCCTCAAATCCTTCTCTCTTCCTCTTTCTCTATCTCTATCTCTCTCTCTGCTCCTACTTCTCCTTCTATCCCGGCTTTTTGGAGAATCCCTAACCCTAATTTTCTCACTTGGGGCATCAATTGAGGTTGTGGGTTCCTTCTTTTTGAGCTTATTTTGGATATTTTCAAGCTGGGTTTTTCGATCAATCACTGTATCCTTAGTGGGGCTTGAAGCTTTGACGAAATTGCTGAGAAATGAGGATGAAGAAGGTAAAGCTGAACCCTTTTTGGGTGGTTCGTCGGAAGTAGTGGTGGTTGTGGATGAGGAGAAGCCGAGTCCTTGCTTGAATCGGGCTGCACCACCTCCTTTCCGAGTTAACTCGTCGTAGTACGCTGCCGCTTTATCTTCCTCCATTGTTGATTTTTTTAAGCTCGAAGTTTAGTTGAGGAGAGAAGGAAGAGTGTAATTTAACATTAAGGGTTAATTTAACATTTGGTTCAACTGTTTAAATATCATTTTTATTTTTTTTGGGAAAAGGAAATATGGGTTAAATTTGTAAAATTACATATAAAATCGCTATTTTAGGGCAAAATACATGAGTTTGACTTTTCTTAAAATAACAAAAAAAAAAAAAAAAAAAAAAAAAATGTAGCGATTAAGGGCAGAAAATGCCAATAAAGTGTAAAAAAAATTCAAATATTTGCTATTTGAGAAATTGGAAATTTGTAAATAATAATACTTCATATTAGTAATACGTAGTAAAATACTATTATCTATCAAATTTCAAAACAAATCAACCAATGGCCAAACAACTACCTTAATTTTGTGGCTTTCTTTTAAGAGCTCTTGCTTGAACATGTTGAGAAACGATTGACCCTTGGTCTGGATCGGTTTTTGACGGTTTTAGGCACCAACGCCCCATTGTACCTTGTGGCGGACCACCATATATCAAAACGGTACCCAAAACCGGTCCAGACCAAGGGTCAACCCCCGACCGGACCAATTTTGGGCGGACTATAGAAATAAAGATTTGGCTTGAAATTAAATTTTTTTTTGGGTGAGCCATGAACAAGCATCTTAAACATTTTTTTGGTTGTTGTTTTTTTTAGGAGGGCCCAGAAAGACTGCTAGGCACGATCAAAATTTACGGGGTTTGAAGAAGCATTTTCAGACCGAACCTTGACCCAACCTATTCAGTCCAACGTAACAAGCTGATTTTTTAGCCTCCAGCTTGGCATGTCCCATGATCATTTGAAAAATATAAGTGTTGACACTTTTTGAGAATATAAGTGCTGAAATTTTTTCCAATAGTGCGCACTTCTAAACTTTTTAGCTTGCGCTTATATACTCGTAAAACAAAGTATGCTTATCATAATAGCTTATAAGTGATCCCAAAAATTAATGTCAAATATGTATCTAAAATTCTAGGGAACTGATACACATACAACCCTTGTATGTGGTCCCAACATACATTACCATTCAGGAGCTATCACATCAGCAAGAGTAAAAAAAAAAGATGGAAAATTAGGGGGGAAATTTTCACCCTTAATGGGCCCCCCAACGTCCTTTCTAAGCGGGAAAAATGCTTGGGAAAATCTTGGCGCCTAATAGCATTAATTGCACAAATTTTATTTTTTTTCTGAAATTTTATTAATTTATTTAGGATATTATTACAACCATTATACAGGTTAAAAAAAATTGCTTACCGGGAGAAGATGAACAGGACACCGGAGAAGATGACGGAATCCAACGCCGACGATTTTTCCGATGAAGTAATTAGAATTTTGAATTCGCGAGCATGTTCACTGGTCAAACTAATTCGATTTTGTGTTCAACAATCCAGCATGATCGATTTATTTATAACATTTCTTTAATGTAATTAAATCAATTTTACTGTACTTATCTCATTTTTCTAGATTCAACAATCGACCGTGAACGGTTAATTAATTTTCAGTACATGATATCAATTTAGTTAATATATACTTTATATTGAAATAATGTCATTCATTTCTTGTATTATGATTTCGACGAAATTCCAAACTTGATTTTGAACTTGAACGGGTAATTAATTTTCAGTCCTTGCGACATTCATGGAGGATATAAAGATAGATATTTATTTAGTAAAAATAACAATTGTTAAAGTAAAATCATATTATTTCATTAATCATGTACAAACTAAAATGTTTGGATACTAGTCAACCTTCCTATTATTCATGTCACAATCAATTACTAATTAAATGAGTAAAAAATCCTACCCCGACCTATATTATGAAAAAAAATTAACTATTTATATTAGTGTTTTCTAAATTTAAGTAAAAAAAATTAACTATTTATGTTAGCAATTTGCAGACTATACCTTGAAGCCCCAATTACAAAGGGACTTGTTACAAGAAATGTGGTTTACATTAGTTTTTCATTGACTGTAACATGTACACGGTAACTACAATATTCTTCTGTTATCAGGTTATGTTATAATTACAAAAATTAAAACTAATCAAATAGTTGTTGTTACAAAATAATCATGTAAAAAACGAAATAATCTTAAGCAACAACTATTATCTGCATAGCTATCCTTCAATAATAATAATAATAATAATAATAATAATAATAATAATAATAATAATAATAATAATAATAATAAGAAGAAGAATCACACCAACTCCTATAATAAGAACCACGTTAATAATATGACCTAGTCGTCGCCCGAGCTCATACCACTTTGATCTAAGTTGATTAATCGGGGCTCATGTGTGAACACTATTTGTAAGGGAAATAAATTATTGTGCTGTTAACCTATACCATCTTTCATTATTATACATAAGACATATCGCATTTAAATAAGGAGGTTATACAAATGAAACTTTTTCAGGTAGATTTATTTTATATAATGAAATTCACGTCAAATAAACTTATCATTATTGTGATGCTAGTAAGGATCTAAGGAGAAACAAGAAATTTATTACAATTTTATTCCTTGTAACATACAAAGTTCTTTTGACAAGTAAACATTTTTAACTTGTTTGAAGGTGATCCGTCAACAAAATTTAAAGTATTTATTTCATTATTTTGCTCAAGTATCTCATATTACACTAACTAATTATTTTAATTGCTAACAACTAATCATTGCCAAATTATCCATTGTGTTTACAACTAATTTTGTGAATCAACTATCCTATTACTAGATAATTAAGTTATATATTCTACATTTTTCCCCTAACATGTATACAGTTACTAATTAATATACTAACAAAATGAACAAAGATGTGTGGGGGGGGGGGGGAGGAGGGTTATAATAATAATAATAATAATAATAATAATAATAATAATAATAATAATAATAATAATAATAATAATAATAATAAGAAGAAGAAGAAGAAGAAGAAAAATAATCACACCAACAACTTTAATAAGAACAACAATAATAATATGACCTGGCCGTTGCCCGAGCTCATAATAAGCTTACAACTTTGATCTAAGTTGATTAATCAGGGCTCATGTTGAACACTATTTGTAAGTGAAATAAATTATTGTATTGCTAACCTATACCATCTTCATATATTATAGTACTGTTAAGCTATGCCATCTTTCATTATTATACATAAGATATATAACATTTAATAAGGAGGTTATACAAATGAAACTTTTTTCGGTAGATTTATTTTATATAACAAAATTCACATAAATGATGATTTTTCCAAATAAATTTATCATTATTGTGATGCTAGTAAGGATATAATGAGAAATAATACATTTATTACACTTTTATTCCTTGTAACATACAAAGTTCTTTGACAAATAAACGCTTTTAACTTGTTTGAAGGTGATCCATCAACAAAATTTATAGTATTTGTTTCATTATTTTGCTCATGTATCTCATATTACACTAACTAATAATTTTAATTGCTAACAACTAATCATTGCCAAATTACCCATTGTGTTTACAAGTAATTGCATGAATTAACTATCCTGTTACTAGATAATTAAGTTATATATTCTATATTTTTTCTCTAACATGTATACGGTTACTAATTAATATACTAACAAAATGAACAAAGATGTGGGGGGGGGAGGGGGGTTAATAATAATAATAATAATAATAATAATAATAAGAAGAAGAAGAAGAAGAAGAAGAAGAAGAAGAAGAAGAAGAAGAAGAAGAAAAATCACAACAACAACTACTATAAGAAAAACAATAATAATATGACCTGACGTTTGCTTGATGAGCTCATAATAAGCTTACAACTTTGATCTAAGTTGATTAATAAGGGCTCAAGTTAAACACTATTTCCAAGAGAAAGAGATTATAGTACTGATAACCTATACTGTCTTTCATTATTATATATAAGATATGTCGCATATCAATAAAGACTATGTACAAATTAAGATTTTTCAGTTAAATTTTTTATATAGAATGAAATACAAGCCAATAATTATTTTTTCAAAGGAACTTATCATATTGTGATGGTAGTAAGGATTTGAGAAGAAATAATACATTTATTACAATTTTATACTCCGTAACATAGAAAGTTCCTTTGACAAGTAAACGCTTTTTAATTGTATGAAGCCTTGAAGGTGATCGTTCAACAAAATTTATAGTATTTATTTCATTATTTTGCTCATGTATGACATTTTACACTATGATTATTTCAATTGCTAAAAACTTATCATTGCTAAATTATCCATATTGTTTACAACTAATTTCATGAATCAACATCCCTTATTTTAGAAAAGCAAGTTATATATTCTACATTTTTCCTCTAACATATAAACGGTTACTAATTAATGTACTAAACTAATGAACAAATTAAGAAAAATAATTATTTACTTAATTACCTTTACTTTTTCACCTTGATTTCGTATTACTTTTCATTGATTGTGTCTTTTTCACATTATCTAACTCTCAAAAGACTAGATGAGGCGGCCTTTTTTCCTCAAAACATGAAATTATTTTAAACAAATACAATTATACAAGATCAACACCACTTTAATATTATAAATTACCTTTTTTGTAACCTTTGGAAGTTATAATTACCAAAAAAATAATTACACAAGATCACTGTAAAGGTAACAACAAAAAAATTTAGAAGGGAAAAACCTGCGCTTTTAAGGAATCACATAACTCGGAATTGATATGTGCTTACCAAATATAGTTGCCTGTGTAACTAAAAATTATATTATTGTTATGAAATATTATGTTGTGTGGATATCCATTATCCTCTATCATTTTGGAATGTTCTAGATCTAGGGTTTATTGCTATTTAAGCAAACCCTAGTTATATTGTATGTATATATATATCTCCCCACTCTATGGAATAATACAGACTAATCAATTCTCTCTCAATTTCTCTCATATTTCTACTTATTTTATAACACGTTATCAGCATCAAAGCTCTACCCGATTAAATCAAGTTATCCTACTCTAAAACCAATTACCCACCAAACAAGTATGTGCGGCTATTCCTTATAATTTATTTAATAATATCTATTATGGTTATGGATT